CCTCCTCCATCTGGATACTCTCTTTGTTTTGGGTTTTTGTGACATTGATCTTGACTGGTTCTCTTCCTACCTATAGCTCGGGACAGAAATGAGGGCTGGACATTTTGATTTGGTAGCACTACAGAGAAGCAGGAGCTTCCAAGAGTTGCCTTGAAGCAAATCAGCAAGACAGTGAAGGATCTTAAGTCTATTTCATATAAGGATTGGCTGAAAGAGCTGGGGATCATTATCCTAGACTGATTCTTCCCAGTCTCCACAACCTTATCTTGCATGTCCTGTCTCCTATATGTGGGAGGATCCCAGGACTCAGTCCTGGGTCCTCATGTCTCCCTGTCACTCTCTCTCTCTCTCTCTCTCCTTCCCTCCCTCCCTTGATGATCTTTCAGAGATTCAATCATTCAGTGAATAATTCCATTGCTAGGTGCCTTGATTTTTGTTGTCACTGGTCTTTGATGACCCTTGAGGAGAGTGAGGCTGCTGACATTGTGCAACTCTGCCTCACTTAAATTTAATTCACACACGAGTCAAGGCATAACCCCCATGATGTCATTGGTCCTTTTCAAAAACGGAGGACAAATAGCAACAATAAGCATTTATGTAGCATTTGCTGTGTGCTGGGCACTGTGCTAAGGATTGCTTCACAAAATCACAACATTTTAGAGTTGGAAGGGATGCCAGTGGCCACCTAATCCAGTCTATACCTGAGTGGAATGCTCACCACATGGGCATCCAGCCTTACTTGAAGACCTCCGAGGAGGGGGAATTCACCAGTTTCCTAGGCAGCCCATGCCACGTTGGGGCAGCTCTCATTGTTAGAAAACTTTTCCTGACATCAAGCCTAAATTTGCCTCATTGCACCTTCTACCCATTGCTTTTGATTCTTCCTTATGGGGTCAAACAAAACCAGTCAAACCCATCTTTGGCATGGCAGCCCTCTGGCTGCCTGAAGACAACTCTTGTGTTTCTCTCCTCCTCACCCCCACCCCCTACCCTGAGTCTCTTCTTCTCTAGGATAATGATCCCCAGCTCTTTCAGCCAATCCTCATATGAAATAGACTTAAAATCCTTCACTCTCTTGCTGATTCTCTTCAAGGCAACTCTCAGAAGCTCCTGCATCTTTGCAATGCTAGCCACCAAACTGAAATGTCCTGCGCTCATTTCTGTCCTGAGCTCCAGTTCTACTCTCCAGCTGCCTGATAGACATCTCCACCTGGATGTCCACGAGGGGCAGGGGTTGGACTTCGGTGATTTCAGTGCTATAGGGGATCCCCAGGTGAGAATAGTTATTCTACCAATGCAGGTTGGCACCTTTTCTTTGACTTAACCTTAGAGAGTTCCCTAAAACATTGGGAAATGAAATGACTTGCTCAGGGTCACTACTGTGTCAGAGATTGGGCTTGAACCTATGCTTTCCTGGCTATGAGGACAGCTCTCTATCCACCATCCACACCGTCTCCCAGATGTGCAAGAGGTATCTCAAAATTAATGTCCAAAATGGAACTCATCACCTTGGCTTCCTGACTTTACCTCTATTTCTAATTTCCCCAGTTTTGT